GTGAAACAGTTAAATATCCGTTAATTGAATAGTCGAGTAATCTCATGAATTCTTATCGGTTACTCAACTATTCTATAGTCCCCAGGGATGTGGCCGACAGCCGGTGTGCTCCAGCCTCACTCCCGAGGAGCCCCTGCCACTCTGCACTGCTGCCTCTGTATCAGCTCTCCTCGCAGACTGGCTGACTGTCACACCATGCAGCTGCCTCTGATACAGAGACAGCAGTGCAGGGTGGCAGCCACCCCTTCTGGAGGGGGGTGATCTGAGCTCCCATACCAGAGAGCTCTCCTGCTGCCCCTCGTCTTGGATTTAAAACCGAGCAAACAAGCAGAGAAGTAAATAAGAGCTGTGGTCCCACCTCTTTTCAAAACCTACTAGCACAGGACCCGCAAATCAGAGTTTCCAACCAGGTGCAGACATTATCAAAACATTGCTCCGAGTGAAGACTCCACTTAACTGCAAACAAGGTAAAATGTACAATAAGGCAGTGATTGCAATTATAATCCTGGGTAATCTCCCATAGAATTCTGGTGGTACAGGAGTTTTGACTGCATTAGGGCTGAAGGATTGGGCCTTCAGACAGTGCTAAAACTGAAATGAACTTATTTATGCTGTTAAGTCATCAGTTTCATGTATCAAGTCTGGGGTTTGATGTGACAGTTGAAAACTCCAAGCTTCTATTAAGAACCATACATTACAGCTGCAGCCTAGACATTTTTTATTAGTGACTGGGTGGACTGAATAAATCTCTGAAGATTTCACAATGTAATGATTAGCCCCCGAAAATAAAACCCAACAATTACAAAAGGGACCTTGGCTTGTCTAATTGTTAATATTTAGCCTGGGTTCTTTTAAGAGAGACCTATGTAAGCCTCAAGTTTTGCAGGCCAGTTAGGCAAAGCCCTGAGTGAGGAGCTGCACAAAGCCATACATCCCTATGGGTAACATGGGGCACCAAGCATACCTCAAAAGTAATATCCTACCTCCTGCATGTCTGATAGGTGCACAGTCTGCAGTGTGGAGGGGGAGTCATGGCTGTAACACTGCCCATTTGGGAGGGATGTGAGCTGTCATAGATAAAGAGAGAGCACATTACCTGCATTCCGCTGAGCTTAGAGTCTGGGATGGTCTCTTGTCCCTTGTTATTGGCACCAGAACCTCTTCCATTCTTAGTAAGGGCTAGGAACAATCCACCCTCTACACATTTACATACCATTTTATATCTGATCAAACAAGCGCTTACTGAAAAATCAATGTGGTGCTTTCTAAAGTCAAGCTGCAAACAAGTCTCCTATAGCTATGAAATGTAGATTGGGCTGCTTGCTAGTGTAATACTGACTTTTTTCAAAATAAAGTTAAGAAATGGGTGTTGTAAATTCAAAGTGAGAATTAAAAGGCAGGACAGATACTGCTAAAAACAGATGAATCCAGCCACTTCAGTTATATAACAGAGAGAGTGTGAAGATGTATAAAGGGGGAATGGAACTCCTAAAATTAATTACTACAGGTTATAAATCATAACATAACCCCATTGATGGTTTAGCCTCATGATAGCATTCCTCTACCAGAAAGCTAGGCTCAATTCCTGGGGCCTGATTCTTTGATTCCCTCCATCTTGCAAAGTCACCAGCACAAAGTAGGTGTAAAAACACTAAATCAGATGAGCACATTTTCATGTAAGGGCAAACGGCTGCACAAGGTGCAAGGGAATGGGGAACAGGGTACCTGGTTTCTTTTTCCCTGGGATGATAAGGAGTGAGTGTGTCATGGAGACAGCACACTCAGCCCATACTGGCCTCTTCCAGTAGCCCTTCCATAAGCAGGACTCCCAATAGCATCAAATGCATGCTACAAGACTGGGTATAGGAAGGAGTAAGAGTTCAACAGCAATCTGTACTGATGGACTTATGAAATGTTGCCAGTTTCTCCATAGTTGCAAGAACACGGGTTGTTCTATTTACAGACTTTTAAAGGTGTGGAAAGAGGATTGGGATGGAAAAAGTGGGGGTGTTTGTGTGTCTGACAGAATTATATGAAGTAAAAAACCCCAAGAAAGTGCAGCTACTCCACGACTTGGGACCATTACATCCTGTCTTTGCAATGCACACTTAAGGATTCCTTTATACGGAGGATGTCCTCAATCACGTCAGGAATATATGAGTCTATCATGTCACAACAAGACTGTCTTAGCCTGAATTTTAGGATATGAATTCAACAATTTAGTCCAACTGAGGACTTAGCACTTGGATCTCATTCATTCATGCATCAGAAAACTAGCAAGAAACCAACTCACAGAGAAGTTATAAATCGTTGAAATTTCGGCCATACCAGCTGTCTTTTGAATGTCAAGAGCCACAATACCTGATACTGTTTGCTACTTTCCCCTTTGTTATTTTCATTTTTGCTCAAGTTAATGATGATTTTATTTTTAAAAGCACCTTCCTTTTAGCTACACTAAGATCTTCAGAGTTGCAGTTATTGGAACATGACCCTTGAGAATACTCAATGCCAGTGATAAATCATTCTCAGAAAGCAGCCCCGCAATAGATGCACCCTGAGGTCCTAATTTTGTGCATGCCAAAAGTATGTACATCCACAAGAGCAAGAGAGAACTGCAATCTGGTGTGCTGCCTGGGAGCATGCCAAATTGCATAAAAGGTACAGGCCTTTTCCCATTCAGTACCACTCTGCACATCGCTAGCAAGACTAATGCACAGCCGGTATTCTTTTTGGACGTGTAAGTTAGAAAAGGAGCAGACACACACTGGTGACAGAGCATGGTCAACCAGAGATGACGCACAACTTCATCATCTAGAAATGGCTCTGTGGGATGGCCAGGAAGTATCAAGTTCTTCCAACTGGAGACTGACTGTCTTTACACAGTAAGATTTTACTGCAAATATCCAGGCCATGCCAAGACACCCAAATGACCCTAGCAGTCATCTGACCCAAAGATGCAGACTAGAGATGTAATGGAATAGTCGATTAACTGATAAGCAAAAGCTTATAGGTTAATGCTCTAGACAACATTCATTCCCCCCCATCCCTCCACTTTTTGCCAGTAAAATTTTTAGCAGGTTGGCCAGCAGCCCAGCTCAGTCCCGGCTTGCACTGGGTCCTGGACCTACCCCCGCTGCAGCTCTGCATTTAAACTGTAGTAAGAGCCAGATGGGCAGGCAGCCTGGCTCAGTTCCGGCTTGTGCTGGGTCCGGGTGCTCAGACCCCTTCCTCACCAGACAGGCGCTTCCCAGGAACTATAGAATAGTCGACTAACCGATAAAAATTCATGAGGTTAATCTACTATTCAATTAACCAATATTTAACATCCTTAATGCAGAGCAGTCTGACACCAGGCCTTTTCAAGGCTATGCTAGTCTCTCACCCAAAGGTGGAACACACAGCAACACCCACAGCCACATGTCTCCAGTCTATTTGTAGTGCTCATCAGACTTACACTAGTGGAAACAACTACAGCCAAGAAGGAAACTAAAATGGGTCAGCACAGACACAGGCTGAGGTTAGACACAGGGAGCAGAACACTTTGTCCAGCACCTCTTGATGAAGAAAGTGGAGGTAAAAATAGAGAAAATGGCACGTGACATTATACCAAACAGTGTTGCATCCAGTGATCCAATCTAGGTGGCCAGCCTGTTATGCATAGATTTAATTCAGTGAAATCGGTGTTTTTTCCCCCACCCTTCTCCCCCACCATGCACACACCTATGTTTGACTTCCACAGCCTTTCACCATTTTCTATACTGAAGTGTAAAGGTATCAGCAGTACCTATTATTCCCACTGATCTTATTTGTATCTCTCAGGGCGCTAACTCCTGACTTTCTGATCTTTGTTATATTGGGGTAGCTCTCAATTTACACCAGCATCATGGAGCAGAATCTGACACTGTACTCAATAGGTAACTTTCTTTCCTCCAGAATAGCCTGAAACAAATATAATCAGGAGAAAACCAAACTCGTGAAACAGAGCTATAACCTGATATTGGTGAGTAAAGACAACGAGTGGAGAGAGACCTCAGGTTTCCAGACATGAACAGAGGTCAGACTGAACCAAATCCCAGGTCTGAGTGCCGAGCTCTTGCAAACTCTGTGAAAGTTTGGCTCTAGAAACAAATTTTATTCCACAGAGGGATATCTAGAAATGAGCTTGCAATGCAACACGGCAATAAAAACAGCCAATTCAAATTGCAGCCACCAGTCACCGATAATCATCCCTCTCTAGCTTTCTCTACCTGGAATATAGCATTCAGTACAGAGCACTGAATTCTGTGAAAGACTTTGACAAATAGGAGGCAGTTCAGAGAAAGATTAAAAGAACTAAATATGCATTGCTTGGCTCACAGATGACAAAGGGGGAAACATGATAACAGTCTATAAATATTTGAAGAGTATAAACATCAAGGAGGAAGAGGAATTGTTTAAGGTGCGATACAGGCAGAGCACATAATCCAATAAAATTAAGAACAGAAAAACTGAACTTTCTGACAGACTGGGAAATACTCTTCCTAAACGAGGTGTGGAAGTCCCAGTGTTTAGGGCATTTAAATGTAGACTAATATAAGAAAGTATACACCAGGAGCAATCCTGAGGTATTTTCTATCTGCTCCTTCTATGACTAACAGCTGCCAGAACAGCACCTCACTTAAATGGACAAGCATCTTGCTCAATGACTGGTAGATGCCTTTGCTATACATGAGCAACTGCTTGTACCAAATCCCAAAGCCACAGCAACTCTCTCCACTTGTTTGGAGCTGGCAGTTCCATATCAGATTCTACTCCTCAATATCCCATGTGGCACCCTATGACAGTGTATCAGTCAAAAAGTTCTATTTAACTAATTATTTTTATGCATTCTGAAATCATCTGTTGTCCACATAGTTGGATGGATGTTCCTACAGATGGATCAAAGACAAGTATCATAAAGTGCTTCCTTGCTAAACAGTAAGTCACACATTTTCATAAAAACTTTCACTACTTTTTCTCACCTCCATCCTGAAATTTGCTTAATTTTTCCAAGTATGATGATAAAGGACCCTGGACAATATCTAGGATAGCCAGCAGTGTCCTGGTCAGTCTGAGCAGCTCACTAAAACTATAAAAGCCAAAGTATATGAGATTTCGAGCCAGATGCACTACCTGTGGAGAAAGAAAAACAATGATGAAGTTAGTCTCTTCAACAACAACATCAGTGGTGTTGAACTGTACAAAACCATAATATTTTGTCCTGTCCTTTTGTCTTTCACACAGACTATGGGCCTGACTCAAGGCCCAGTGAATTCAGTGAGATTCTCTACTTTGCAGGGCTCTGGACCAGGCCCTTAATTGTCAAATGCTTTGCAGAGCTAGATAACCCAATTACTTGGTTAAATGAACGTGGAAGAGAAATCTGCATGAGATCGAGGTTGCGCTGGGGAGATATAGTTCCATCTGAGAAAAGAAATGAGAAGGAAAGTCTATGAGGCAGATAGATGCCAGAAGGCTGTTCCAGATGGCAGAAGCTGCAGTAGAGACATATCTTGAAACAGCAGTCAGACTGTGGTAAGGTAAATACAGAGTGAAGGCAGGGCTGCAAGGCCAGCGGTAGTTTAAACAAGGGCTGCAATAAATGTCCTTTCACTTGATTCTAGAAGACTCAGTCCTATGTAACCTTTCTTCTGTCTGGTGTTCTGAACCATAATAGAGGACAAACTTATGTGGTGAAACACATTTTCTTTATTATTATCATATCTTACATAAAATACAGCATCTTTCATCCCAACAATCTCAAACCTCTTAACACACACAGAAATCACTTCATTTTCCACTGAAATGCAGCCACCTCTGGTGTGGTGAGCAAATGCAGATGCCTAACAGTGCATAGCACCAATACAGTATGTCAAGAACAAAAGTGGGAAGCAAAAAAGAGAGTGAAATTAAGGAAGCGGGTATTAAGTTTTAAATATCATTCTGTAATAGAATGCAACCTCAGTACTATGAACACCAAAGTTACGAATCAACCACACACCTCATTTGGAACAGGAAGCATGCAATCTGTCAGCATCAGAGACCAAAAAAAGCAAGTATTGGAACAGCACAGTTTGGTGTTAAACATAAATTACTAAAAATAAAGAGAAAGTTTAAAAAGAGATTTGACAAGTAAGGGTACGTCTACACTGCATGGCTATTTCGGGATATCGGAGGTATGCCGAAATAGCTACCCCACGTCTACACAAGCCACCTGTTATTTCGAAATACTTTTCAAAATAATGGGCATGCTATTTCACCATCCCGGTAAGCCTCGTTGCACAAGGGTTAAGGGATGTCTCGAAATAGCATGCTATTTCGAAATTTGGTGCTGTGTAGATGTGCCAAATTCCAAAATAAGCTATTTTGAAATAGATTCAAAATTTTAGACGCAATTTGTGTAGCACAAATTGCTTATCTTATTTCAAGTTTAAGGTGCTGTGTAGACGCACCCTAAGGCAAATGGTTCTGTGCTTGTTTCATTCAAATTAAGATTGTTTTTCTTCTGCATAAGAAAGTTTCAAAGCTGTACTAAGTCAATGTTTAGTTGTAAATTTTTGAAAGAACCATCATAATGTTTTGTTCAGAGCTACAAACATGACAGTTACAAATACTCTACATTCCCGAGGTGTTTGTAACTATGAGGTTCTACTGTATAACTAATTAAATAGATTCTTAAATGAGAATTTTTTTTCCAAAAGAAAACCTGGTTAATAGGGCTAACAGTTATGTCTACTGCTTCACTGTTTGATTCATGGAGTACAATAAATTGACCAAGATAACTGAAAAGTACCTCAAATGTAAGTTTGTTTTTCTCTTTGTCCCCAAAAGGAAATGGCTGATTTACAACTTCTCTCAAGTAGTCTTCTACAAATTCCATAGTCAAAGCAAATTTCCTCTTCATGTCATTTCTCGAGGAGTCTGTGAAAGAATCATACCTACCAGGCAAAACAGAGAGAAGCAAAAGTAACCTCTTTCACTTATATGTTGAGATGTAATATAAAAAATAATGACATCTCAGTCACTCGTGATACCTTATTTTAAGATCTTTTGTACAGAAAAGGGCTAGATTGCAGTTAGTCCTGCATGTGTGCACCCCGTGGCATCTTGCCCAAAAGGCTATCTTCTGTCCACTTGTACTAGAAGTTGGGGTTGGGGAGAGCTCAACAACAGAGGTGATAGGAGAAAAGATGGTAAGAAGTTAAGTCCATGATCAACTCCTTCCCCACCTTCCTTTTATTTGTGTGCACAAAAGCTCCAAAAGAAATGAGCTGATCAGGAGGGGGAACACTCGCTGCAAACTAGGAAAGAAGGCAGCGGTGTTTGTGGCACATGTCCCTCAGAACTACTGTGTCTGCCATAGGCTATGTCTACACTACGGAGTTTTTTTTAACTCCGCCACATCCAGGGAACACATCTGCGCAGGGAAGAGCAGAGGCACTCTTTCAAATGCCCTGTACTCCTCATTTTATGAGGACTAAGGGCTCTTCCCAAAAAGGAGGTTTTTCCGACATTTGGCCCCGTGTAGACAGGCCAAATATCGGAAAAGCCTCTTCCGAAAAAAAACCAGAAAAAGGTACGCAAATTGTGAAGCGCATTTTGCGTACCTTTTTCCGAAAAAAACCCCAAGAGCAGAGGCACTCTTTCAAATGCCCTGTACTCCTCATTTTATGAGGACTAAGGGCTCTTCCCAAAAAGGAGGTTTTTCCGACATTTGGCCCCGTGTAGACAGGCCAAATATCGGAAAAGCCTCTTCCGAAAAAAAACCAGAAAAAGGTACGCAAATTGTGAAGCGCATTTTGCGTACCTTTTTCCGAAAAAAACCCCCAGCAGTGTAGACATAGCCTCAGACACAAAGCCCCAATGCATCAAAGCAATCAAGCAGACAAGCTATCCCCATTGAAGTGAATGGGACTCCTCCCATACTTAAAATGAAGCATGTGCTTAAGTGCTCTCCTGGAACAAGGCCAATCCCCTAAATTGCTTCAACTGACTGTAGATTGCAGCTGTAATGGCACAATAAAGCTCTAAGTGTAAAACTAAGTTTCAGCCTTGTGAGGGTGTGATGCTTAACAGAACATAATGGCTTTGTGCTTCACCGTTCCCAGTAAAGGTCACTCCATCTCCCCTATCACAATGTATTTTAAAAACCGCACTCACAAATAAAGTGACCCTTTTACATTTCCACGATTAATAGTGCCTAATGGTTTGTGTTCTGCAGCAAAGTATCTGCTCACAATATTGCATTAAAATTTCAACCCCTTTCAATTTTATTCTGAGTAGGTTTGATCCATTGAAAATGCTTTAGAGTTTGTGAACTTACTCATGGATGGTGATCTTGGTAGGAATTTCAGTCCACAGTCTAGCATATCGAACGGGTACTACTGACTCCTGAGGATCTCTGTCAACGTGCATGTGCAGCATAAGACGGCAAAAAGAAGCCCGGAGGTCATAAGGGAGGCTTTCATCGGACATACACCGTAGGATCAAGTCCACTGAGAGCTGAGTTGAAATCTGATTTATGGCTAGATACTGACGGTCCAGGCACATCCTTGCAAAGAGGTTTAATTGGTACCTGAAGGTAATAAAAATAAATGGCATATTTTCAGGGGGGACTTTAGGTTTCTTTGAATGGCACAGAGCAAAATACCTGAGAATATACTCTCAGGAGCCTGATCTATGCCATTCCCAATATAATTATACCACCCCTTTGTTAGCAAAGACACCCACTTGCCATTACAAACCCTACTATTAATCTCCTGTGCCCATTGATTTTTATACTGAACTAACACTAGAGTTCAAAGGAAGTCCCTTGCACAGAACAGCGGTGGGATGAAACCCTTGAGCTATTCATTTTCAATACATTAAGACTTTGTTTCATGCCCCCACCTTCCCGGATCTGGAAGTGCTGATGGTGCTCATTTTTTAGTGTTCCCAGACAACCGCTCAGAGCACAGCTTGTCTGAAAGAGTATCCTAAAAGGAGCTGTTGTGCTATCGCACCTGCTAGGAAAGGGAGGAGATAAAATCACAGCATTCTGAGAGCACACAGGAATATGTCAAAAGCATATATGCTTCACCACACTCTCTGGAAAATATTGGATAGATTGTGATCCTGCTTCTTTCCACAATTTTTAACAACTTAGATCCAGTTTTTGAACGTGCTAATGAGCTTGCTTCTAATTTAAGACAATAGCTATTGATTTCAATAGCTCCCCGAATAGTGAAATTGTTTTACCTGTAATAGGTGAGCACTTCGAGATCAGCCTTTGTGCCTTCCTTAGCCTCCTGGGCCAGATGCCTGATAGCTTTGCCATGTGGTTCCTTATTGCTGTCAATCCAGTAGAGCCAGACCTCTTCCTCATCAATATCATCTGGGATGATGGAGCATTCCAAGGGATTGTCTATTTGCATTGAAACCAGCCTTCAAAAAATAACACATAAGCCCTCTCACAAATGTGGCAAGAAAAGCAATGTAATAATGACAAGTATGTTTCGATTACAGTGCTTACTTGGTTTGGATAAGAATGTCAGCATTTCCTGGACTCAGCATAAATTTACAGATGAGTTCTTGAGTTACTGGTATGGCAGTTGTATTAGAAACACACAGGTCTGATAGATAATCCAAGAATCTGGACAGGAAAAAAACCAGTACAACAAAATATTACACAGAAGCATCCCAAAGGAAATCTGTTCAGCTGCCTATCTCAAGCACTCTAGAATGAGAAAAACCTTCCTGAAAAATATTTTATTTTTCAGGTGGGAATCACATACCCTTATGAATGCTGAAGAAGTGTGATGGGGCGTTCCCGCCCCACACTGAGCAGGAGGGGGTTAAGAAGGCTCCACCCACTGAGTCTCACTGGGCATGCCCAAGCTGCTCTGCTATAAAAGAGAGCAGCCCAGTTCAGCTGGGGCTGGCAGCCGGAGGGAGAGGATGTACCTTGCCAGCTCCAGGCAAACCACAGAGATTACCCAAATGCCGAAGCATTATCACAAAGGCTGGAAGCCAGATGTGTCTAGAGCCCTCACCGGTTCCAGAAACCAGCAGAAGCAGCCAGATCCCAGACAAAGGAGGGGAGGTGAAGTTTCATCCAGATGCCCAGTAGGTTGCATCACACTCCTCCCTCCCAAGGCGAGGGAGGCAATTTACTGTCGGGGACCATGGAAGGCACTGTCCCATGAATATGGACAAATTATAGACTGTGAACATTGAGTCACACTACCCCAATGAAGAGGGGTGAGTTGTTGATTGGGACTGTTGAATTGTAATGCCCTGCAAACAGGGGCAAGGTATAGACCAGGAGTGGGCAAAAGGGACTCTGTGGGCAGGATCCGGCTCGCCAAGTGGGTTGATCCAGCCCGCAGAGGCTCTGCCGCTCTCCTGCCCCCAGACCAATTCGGACCTGGGGGTAGGGGAAGTGCATGAAGTTTCCTCTGCCCTGGCAGGAGCACATAGCACTTTGAAGTGCCGCATACTCCTAGCAGGGCAGGAGACTTCATGCGCTCCCCTGCCCCCAAACCCTGATTGGCCTGGGGGAGGGAGGAGCACACAAAGTTTCCTCCACCCTACCCCCCACCCTGCTAGGAGAACGCAGCACTTTTTTAAGGGCCACGTGCTCCTCACAGAGCAGGAGCAGGGTGGAGGAAGCTTCATGCGCTCCTCTGCCCCCAAGCTCTGATTGACCTGGGGGTGCGGGAGCATGCAAAGCCTCTTCCCACCCTGCCTGGGACATGGGTGCTTAGTGGAAAGGGGGGGAAAAGGGGCTCCCCCACCCCCAGACCATGACTGGAGTGGGGGCAGGGAAGCCCAGAAGCATCCTGGCCCCGCCCCCTTCCGGGGGCGGCCCGGGGCCACTTCAAAAAAATTTTGCCCACGCCTGGTATAGACTCTAACCATTGGGTCATGTTGCCCCACAAGAAGGGGCAAGTTATAGATTGGGACTATTTGCTGGGCAGCACAGTTCAATAGGGGCAAGTTAGAGACTCTGACCGTTGGGTCACCCTGCTAGGAAATTCTGGGGGACATTTCACATGATTAAGGCCTGCCTCACAGCACTATCTGCTAATAGTGTCTTTTCTGAACTGTTCTGTAAGTCGTATTTTTAAAGCAGAACTTATTTTTGCACTAAAGGTTTACACATAAGTGAAGTTGCTGTATTCAAACAATGAATTTAGTCAGTCAATCAAATTAAGACTCTTCCTCTTACAAATAATGATATAAGATATTAAACTAGGTCAATAAGACCCTTAATAAGGAACAACCACCTTCTAACAATGACCCAAGAAATTGGCTCAGTACCAAAATGGCAGCCCTTTCTAATACTGACCAAGAATAACATCACTTAGCTTGGGAGATGCGATGAGAACAGAGCTGCAGGTGATATGCAGAATAATTCTAATGCTGCAATACAACAGCTTACAGCAGTACTATAAGTTACTCCCCATAAAAGTAATTTGACCCTCAACACATGGCTTTAAACACATTTGCATTATTACTGTGTATTTACAATTGGAAGTCTAATAAAAAATAAGACACTTTTTTTCAGTCAGACAATCCACGGAGTTTATATTCGTACAGAAAATGGCAGTAAAAGCAGCAAGAGTTGCAGGAATTTCTGTTCTCTCCACTGTAACAATTTATACACAAGGTGGGTCATGGCTTAGTTTTCGTCTGCCAGGAGGAAGAAAAATGTAAGGCATAAAAGAAAGATAACGAAACAGTAAATAGAAGGCAGATTCACAGATAAAAAGTATCAATACAGAAGAAGAAAGGTATGTGGACTGCTTCAAACCTTGGTTCTCTATTTCTCCTGAGTAAGTTAACAAACGTCTCTATTTCTTTAGATGTGATGTGTTTCTCAAGTAGTTTTCTGTTGTTGTGCAACAAAGCTGTGATAGTGTCTTCTGCCAGGATATCATAGCCTATCTGGGACTGCATGATGCAGAAGTTCTTAGCAATATATTCCTGAAAAATAAAAAAGCCTCAGAATGATCTGTTCAATAGCCTGTAAGAAGCAGTAACTCTTTTAGGATCAGCTCAATTGATTCTCCAAACTAATTCTCACCACACATCTTACTAGTGGAATACCATGACGTGAATCTGGGATCACTGAATCATGTCCTCAAAGAAAAAAAAATCACTTGTCTTAAGGGTAGCCACAATCTTCTCCCCTCCCCTAAAAACCACACACATAAAATAAATGGAAAAGGTGGCATTTACTTTATTTTTGAAGGAATATTCTTGTTTTTATAGACAAGAAATATTTTGGAAGGCTGTAGAAAGGCATCACCCTAGTCAGACACATCATTTCAACACCTTATTTTGAGCCCCCCTCCCCTGGCCCATGCCTGCAAAGTCTATGACCCAGTCTCCACTCTAGTTCATAAAAGTGTTGTTGGACTGAGTGGGTCTGAACTTTCTCCCACTCAAAGGACACCTGGTGGGGGTAGGTTGGGCAGCTTGACCGAATCAGTTCTGCTTCTGAGACCACTATTACTCTTTGCTTACAAATCTGGCAATGAGAAGAATTCAAAAAAATCAGTCCAACTTTTCCACTGTCTACTCTGAAATCCAAGAGCATATTTTTAGTGATACAGCAGAATTCCACAAACTGGGAGTTCCATTCTCATGCTTCAACCTGTGGAGCTTATAAACAGGAAAAAATGGCATGGCGCATGTGCCGAGAAAAACAACATTTCAAAGCTGATCACTGGTCTCCTGTAAAAATTCCTAAACAACAAAAATACCCTTGTTCAGCCTAAGTCTTCACTACTTTAATGATTGATTTCCTATACACGAATGCAAACGAGTGCATTACACGAGTGGTTTCACTGGTATTTGGATTCCCATTGTATTAAGTACAAAGGGCAGGGGCAGGCCCAGAGTATACAATTATGTAACAATTTTAGGGGAAAACAATTTTAGCTACAACTGACCTGGTTTTTCCTATAATCCTGCTGGGAATGTCTGATGACTCTGTAACATAGTCTTAACATGTATTTGTAGGGAGCATATCTCTGGTCTCCTAGATCTTCAAGTCTCAACATTGATCCCTCTCCTCCTTTGTCCTTAAACGGAGCTTTGAGGATCCCAAATATCTGTTCAGAATCAAAATCACAGAGGGTGAGAACAAACAAAACCAAGATTTCTGGTCGACAGTAGCTGGCCATTTCTATGCAAATTCATATTAAAAAAGAAATTACAGGAGTGCCTTAAAACAAGTTAAGAAAAAGGACACACCACTCTTTCTAGCTATATAGGACTGAATGTGGAATACTGACAATCCCAGACATTAAAAACTGTGCTTTAACATGACACTGTTCCATGGACCTACACAGCACAGAAAAAATCACTACAAATAATTCTGGATCAATTTACAGTCAAAGGGGAAGAACATTCTGTCATTCTTCTTTTCCATCCTCTTCCCCATTGTTTATTCAAGAAGCTACTTACATAGCATATTAAGTCCAATTCACATATGCACAGATCTTATCCTTCCAGCTCCATGAGAATGCAGAGATTCACAAGATGGACTCATTTACAGCACTGGGGACTCGAGTATCACATTTGTTTCAATTTAAGCAAGATTTACTCTCTCATAGCCATGTAATGCAATGAGATTACACAGGCATAACTAAGAACAAACTATAGTCATTTATATTCAACAGTCTCCTCATTATTGGTTTTCTTTTTCATTTAGACAATAGGTGAGACCTGTGTGGCTAATTTCACACCTATGAATCCAAAGGATGAAGTAGCCTCTTTAAACAAACAACCGTCTTCCTTCAGTAGCTTCCCCACATGCACATATATAAACAAATGGATAATATCCAAAACATACCTGGGCCAATATATTTTGTTCCCTCATTAGTTTTTGTCTTTCCCGGTTTGGCTTGGTGATCAACACATCCAGAACTTCCTGTCCATTATTAGGCACATCAGCAACAAAGAAAATGAGATCTTCTAACAGTTTGGTTACAAACCTAGAATGGGAAGAGGAATCATTGCTATACAGGTCAAACCTAGAACCAGTAAAGAAATCCTCACTATACAGTTCCACATTTACTAGGATTTATTTTTTAACAATCCACACATCTTATGACAGGTTTTTTGTGGTACAATGGAACCTCAATCACTGCAAAGCCAAGCCTGACACGTGCTTAAGGATTCAAGACCTTGCATCAGCAGAGGCCTAAATCCATCCGAAGGATGTTGACCAAAGTATTCAACAACCACAACAAAACCGAAAGCAAGTTCAACTGATGGGCAGTATTCCAGAACAAGTAATTACTCAATACACCAGTGACACCAGCAAGGTATTTTCACACGCAGCCTTGCTAAATTTTTTCAGGTAACCACTAAGAACTTTAGGAAGGATGCACTGCAGACATTGGAAGAACATGCAAGCATCCCCCTTCTATTCTGCACCCCCTACTGACCAAGCAGATATTAAAGGAAGGGGAAGAAAGATTTGAAAGACCACATCTTGCACTCCCTGCTAAGGGAAAGGGGAATTGGTACAGAGCACCAAAAGAGGAGACAGAAGGGTCCCATCCATCGGATGGTTTGGAGCTGCTGCCCCAGACCTCTCACTCTGAAGGGCCCCATGGCAGCTGCCTCAACTGTTCTATAGATGGAACCCACACGGCCCAGAAGAACCTGGGGAATAACCTGGGGAGCCTGGCATGGAGCAGCAGGGGTCACGCCCCCACACTCACAGTGGCGACAGAATCCAGCGCGACCTGGGTACCAGCTCTGCTTCGACCTGCTGCCCCTACTCAGCCCTCTAGGCTCGGCTTCACCGTGACAGCAGGAAGCAGAGCACCGTGGCCCTGGCCCCAGAGCATTGGGCATAGTGGAGCAGGCTGCTGGGTCCCTCTGCTGCCATGGTGGGGGGGCCCACAACCTCTGCTGCCACCCCACACTAGGCCCCCCTGGTAATCTCCTGGCTCATGTCACTCAGGGGAGGGGATTTCAAGGAAGGTACAGAGCGAGGGCAGGAAGGATTGGGGTAGGGTGGAGCAGGGGTGGAGGCAGGGACGCCATGGGCCCCAGGTCCCTCCCCCACTCCTGGGATGGTCGTGAGGGGAGCGGTACTTCTAATACAGGTTGGACCTTGTTGCTCTGACACCCTTGAGACCTGACTGGTCCCAAACGAGGGGATTTGCCAGACCAGGGAAGGTCCCGCCTCCCCCAGCTTTGCTGGCACTGGGTTAGGGCCCCAGTCCCCTGAGGCTCTCTAGATGCTGCCAGCTCTGCTCTGCTACAGCCAGGGTGGAGCACCATGGCTGAAGCTCCACAGCTGGGGCTGGAGCTGCACATCCACCTCGCTCCACAACCAGGGCTGGAGCTGTGCAGCCAGGGCAGAGCCCAGCAGCCGCCTGGCTCTGCAGCAAGTGCTGGAGCTGCGCAGCCAAAGCGGGGTGGAGAGCTGGGGCCCGAGCTCCCTGACCACTGTTGGGGCTGGAGCACCATGGCCATTGCTGGGGCCAAAATTCCCTGCTGTGCCGCCCATTTCACCCTTACACACATATACTGGGTTGCCGGTGCCCCCCAATGCGATCCTGCCCCACCACCAGACCTCTCTTTTCCTGGGCTCTGTGGTCCAGGAACATCCATGGTCCATGCTGGATCACAGAGGCTGCCAGACCAGGAAGCCCTGGCTAAGGGAAGTACAACCTGTACTGGAAAATGTCATCTCCATCCTGGAGGAGACAGACAGAAATTCTAAGTTATACATCCATATAGCAAAACCTATATAGATGGAACTTCCCATTTCTAATTGAATAGGCCCAACTTTACTAAATAGCTCTGAAAAGGGCTACAGGCTCCCCAGGAGCACCTCTGCAAAAAGCCAACAAAATCCTATGAGGGCTCAGTAACTGAAACTTGGTGTTTGTGACCAGCTCACAAGGAAAGGAGAGAAAAGAAAAATATAAGTTTTCAACAAGGAGTAGGTTGTGCCTGCAATTAAACCCACTTCCCCCAAACTGTCAGATGAATTTGGCCTAATACATATACCCTAGGCCCAGGTTTCTAAACTGTAGGTCTAAGGGCATGTGAATCTTCAGCTGGGATTTAAAAAAGAGAGAAAGAGAGAGAGAGCTTAGAAGATTTAAGCACAGAACTTCCATCACTCTCAAGATGAACAATAGGCTACACCTCCTAGCCCACCTTGAAAATCTCAGCCCATATGCAGACCTCAAGGAATACATCAATCTGTTTGGAACCTGGCGTCAGTAGAATAATGCTGACAGTACATGAGTGCTCCCCAAGCAGCACAAAGTGAAGGCTGTGGATGTAAGGCTGAGCAACTAGCTTGGTGTTGGCAGGATCCCTACCTCTATAGGTCAAGGACAGGGAAGGGAAGAATGAGGACTGCTACTCTTTCACAAGAAATCACACACACACAAATAATGCCCACTACCAAAACACTATGAAATATTTCCAGCATTATATCCCATCAGTAGCCCCACTACTCGATGATGATGGCGAAGTCTCGTGGCCACAAGGCTAATAGTGTTACGTCACACCCTGGTTACTTTGTGCATCAGGGAACAGAGCCAGAGAAGAAGTGCCTATCAGCTTTTTAAGTACCCATGCCTAGGCCATTATGCCTTACTTTGTTAGGATAAATCTAACTACCTAATCTTGAACCTTCTGTTCTATTTATTCTTCACAAAAACCTCTTCATTCAATAGTTGACACAAGCTTAAATTTGATCACAAAAATTAACATTAAGTTCCTTTCACCCCCTCCTTCTTCTTCGTCTATCTTAGATCATCTTAAAGCCCATTATCATGGTATCTGAGCACTTCATGCTCATTAATGCATCCATCCTCACAAGCCTCCTGTGAGATAGGGTTATGCTGCTGTCCCCATTACACCAACAGAGATCTGGGCCACAGGAGAGACCCAGGGACTTGTTTCAGTCACAGAAGGAGCCTGTGGCACAACCAGTCTCAGATCCCTGGCTAGTACCCTAACCGTCTTCCTCACTTGCCTTCTGACCGAGCTAGCTAGATTTTACCAGTGCGTCCATTTGTGTGGTATTTGGGTACCAACATATTCATATTTTTTATAGGGTAGTGATTAGGGGCGGGGGACCCACCATTTACTGACCTCCTTTCATTTTGTGTTATTGTTCCATTCTCCAGCTTTTTAACAGTGGATGCTAAAACTTTGTTGGCATCATTGGCAAAATCCAAGTCTCTGACCTCAGATAGGGGAACTGACACGATGGCAAAAGCTTCCTTGTCTTCTTTTGTTTGGCAAGTCCCAATCTGAAACAGTAAATTCTTTGTTAAACAGTTCTTTTTAATTTCACTTAATTTTGGTGAGCAATCCTCAGACTTCCTCTTTATTATGACTGATCTTAATCATCCAAGAAATTAAATCATTCACAGCCGATGATAGGGATGATTTTGGAAAGCTAGTTGATTTGTATCAATATTTACCTTCAACATCACTGGCCTCTCTTCCTCAGTATCGATAGGAATACTAGTGCTGGTCACCCAAGTATTAGTGCATAGGTGCCTCAACCGGACATAAGAGTTCCTAAAGACAAGCACAGGAAAATGAGATGTCTGGAGAAAAAGTGACAGAAGCTACACACTTCATTTTTGTGCAGAACATTGAGAGAGAATGTGAAGGAGCGGACACAAACTTTCAGCAAGGTCAGGGTTTGGTTGTGCCAGGACAAAGAGATGTGCATGGAATGTGATTAGTTCTCATCAAATGGAAAGAAAAGGCTGTGATAGCAGGGACAGTTGTACTCCAGAATGACCACTGAGGAGCAGCAAGCACCACCGCCCTTGGGAGCAGCAAACAGGTTGCATGACCCCAGGGAGAAGCTGGCAGGAAGGCCATGAAGCCACTGCCACCCCACGGAGCAGCCTCTGGTCACCTCTACCCCATTCCCTTAGCCCCTCACACCTCCCACCCCGTCTGACTCCTGCACCCCCTTCCTTGGTTACCTCCTCACCCCCAACCTTGACTTCTGTGCCCCTCACACCCTCAGCTTCCTACGCTGAGCCCCCCACACTTTGTCCTGACTCCTACACTCCCCACAGCTTGAGCCCACTGCCCTGAGAGGACCTGAACAATGCTGGGTAAGTCTTCTAATAATTCCATAAATTTCAAAGTATGAAAAAACATGTTTTGTTTTTTATGTGAACAGTCTTCTGCAGAAATGACTGTTCAAATAAACAGCAACACATTAACAGTCTAATCTAATAGCTGGATCCTGCAAACACTTGCTCACATAAGTAAGCTAGACTTCAGTAAGATTGCTCACATGAGCAATGACTTACAATATCAGTCATAAGCTGAGACTCAAGTGCACAAACAGCATAAGTTAGATTATTTTTTAATTCTTTCTGTTTGCGGTAGTGTTAGGAACTAGAGATGAGCAATTAATGCAAAAAATTGTCAGTGATTATTCATTCTACTTTTTTATATTAATTTACTTTGGCCAAGTTTGCAGTCTTCCTTTTTGTGTTCACAGTCTGTAAATATTCATGCAAGTGAATTGTGCTAGGGAAAATGAGCACATAAAACAAATTTCAAAGCTGCATACACAAATATCATCACAAGCCACGCTTTAAACTGACACAGGAGAATTTGCCCCCAAATGACTTCATGTTCATTCAATCACAGAACTGAAAAAAACACTCACCTTGTAACTTATCTGACCCAATGCAATTAAGTGACATTGCTCAGATCTCAAATACTGGTAATTCATTCCTGAGGTAAGATCTTAAACTATTTATCCAAGGTATTTGAACAACAAAGACACTCCCAAGAAAGTGATCTGCATTGGCAATACATGCATGAAAAAGAAGGCAAAATTCACAGCCAAAGGACTCCTCAGATTTAGTAACAGTACATTTTTTTTCAAATATCGGGTCTAATCCTATTCTCCATTACACATGTGCAAATTTACCCCACTGTTCCCGTACCTTCACAATCTCCCTTCTAAGAGTCACTTGTTTTATTCTTATAATTATTTTATCCCATCACAGCAGCAGGATCATGTTTTATACATCTCTTGTTCATCTATAAATGCGCCTCGATTTCAACTGGAGAATAACAGTAGAATATGTTTGATTTTTCTACTTTACTCGCCAGCATAATGCTAGAGAGAAAACCTTGTCAATGCGGCATTTATTTATTTTTATTTTTTTACCTTGGAACCAGGCAATCAGCTCTCTGAAGAGTGGTGGCATCTAGTTCAAAGAGAGATGCGATGTCATTTCCATGTGGTACAGAGACCAAAGTATACATAATCTTCTCCCCTGCCTGGCGTTTCTTCTTTGAAGCAGGAAGGTCACCGTCTCTCTGTTGATTAGGCACAAGGGTTATTTGCTTGCACTGGGCCCTATTATAAATTCTCCAATTATCTTGTGGACAAGTGATGCATCCGGATTTTGCTTTTACATCCCAGTGAGGGTGTGTCAGGGCCAGCTTCGGAGCAAGTAACACAGAGGATGCAATCTGCCCCATAGACACAGGGTCTCAGACAGTCATTATAACAGAAGCAGGTCACACACTACTGAGAGATGACAATACCAGGTACACTATTACATGACACCAGCACTTCAGAAGCCTACTGTAGTTGCAGACCCTTGCCTCCTACCCAATGTAATTACACTGCACTGGTTTGCAGGGGGCAAAGATAAAAGCAAAGGAAGGATGGGGGAAAAGAAATGTATAGAAAGAAAGATTAGTTCAATTGGTGTTTAGAGTGTTCTCTTTTCCCATTAGCAGTCATAATCATAGCACTACACCTGTTAAGAGTGGCCAAGGCAGCTGCTCCGTTCACAACCTGACACTGCAAGAAGTGGTAGTGGCACAGCCAGACAGCTGGACCCTATTCAAATGCTCAGTGTAAACAGACAACATGTTAGGGCCTCCAGCCTGCCTGATGCTGAGTGTTCTCAAATCCTATTGATGCCCATAGCTAAGGCTATGTCTAGACTGAAGAGCTTTTCTGGAATACTGGAGGTTTCCCAGAAAAGTTCTGCTGCATCCAGGGAACATGTCCGCTTTTTCAGAACAGTTTCCAAAAAAGCAGACGTGTTCTTTCAGCATTCCTGTATTCCTCTCAGCGAGAGGAATAAAGGATGTTTTGAAAGAGGAGGTTTTTTCCAAAATTTGGCCTAGTATAGCCGGGCCAAATTTCGGAAAAGCCTTTTTCAGAAAAAAAATACGCAAATTGTGGTTTGCAATTTGCATATTTTTTCCAACTTTTCTCTGCAGCGTAGACACAGCCTTACAGAAACAGGCCCTAGAATCAATGGGCAGGGTCCAGCTGCCTCAATCCCCATACCCCTGCCTGTGTCTCTTCTATCCCATAACCCCAGTCCCAGCCCCAAGGGAAGGGGACGCAAACAGAAGTAATGGGCAACACAAGGTAAACATCACTGTACAATCCCCAGCAATGGAGATTTTAAGACAGACTCCCTTGGTAATCAATTCCAGAGCTTTTAACTACACTTATAGTTAACAGCTTCCCTGAATTGCCTTTGCAGCAGATTTCAATCATTACCCCGGGTTATGTACAAGATAGGGACTGTAGGTTTGCTCTTAAGTTGAATCTGTATGTAAGTCGGAACTGGCGTCCAGATTCAGCCACTGCTGAAACTGACCAGCGGCTGACTACAGGAA